TTTTTTTTTTTTTTTTTTTTTTTTTTTTTTTTTTGTAATTTTTTAATATATGATTTTTATTTTTAAATATAATTTCTTAACAAATAAAAAAAAAAAAAAGTTAAATATCAGAATAAACTTAATAATATTTATAAATACAACCAATTATTCACATATTTTATTTATAAAAAATAAATAGATCGTCTCCGATCTCCATAATTGGGATTAAAAAAAATCAAACAGAGTTTGGTTTGATTTCATTCCTCAGATATATATTTTTTATTTCATACATATTTACGTCCATTTCAATATTAATTATGAACATATATTTTTGAATATGAAGACTAATAAAAGTTCGATAACAATGAGATTAAGAATTACGATACGATCAAATAGACGATAAGTGTGACATTGATATTGTTGAATAATTTAGAATTATATTAATTTAAAGATGAGATATGGTTATCTAATTTTAAATTGGAACAGCGAATCTTGTGTCAGAGCCCTGATATTGGTGCCTTTTTTGGTATTTGGATGTTGGGAAAATACTGAATGCATTCATTTGTTCTTCTTTGATATTCACGCCATACGCACACGCTTTCTCTCTCTTCATACTTTTATAATTTTCCTAATTTTAATTAAATAACTTATTTTTAAACTTTCTATTTATCATAAAAAAATATATATCATTTAAAAAAAAAACTTTTTATATTTTACTTTAAAATATTTTTAATAAATTCCTTTCCACTTTTTTTAAAAAAATTTAAAAAATACTCTCGTCTTTTAGTTTTTTTTTTTTTTAAAATTACATTTTTTTTTAAAGTTTAAAGTGTTTGTTTTAAGTTTTTAAAAATTTTGAAAGGCAATTAATAAACCTTTAAAAAAATTTAAAAGACAGTTTTTAATCATTTTTTTAATTTATTTTGAAAAAAAAAAAGTATTTTTATTTTTATTTTTTGAATGTTTAATAAAAATATTTTTTTTAGATAATTATATTTTTGAGATAAAATATAAAATATAATTTTCTTTTATAATTTAATGTCTAATTTAGTTTGAAATACTTTCAAAATCTTAAACTGCTCCCTTTATTTAAGTTTAATTTGAAATTATTTAGAAAATAACATAAAGTATTTTTATTTATTTAAAAATATTTTTCAAATTTAGCATTTAAAAAAAATACCGTGGAAGAAATTAATTTAAGATACTTAAATTGTTTTGAAAAAAAGATAAAATTGATATATTTAATAGTTATTTATTCCAACTTTATCTAATAAATCTTTAACCTACTAAATTAAAATTTTAAAATAAATAAATTTAAAATTTATCGAATTTCACACAAAATTAAAAGTTTAGAAATTCATTAGACATTTTAAAAAATTTAAGAATTAAATAAATATAAATTTCGATGCTCAATTTTTAAACATGCGAGATGTGTTGATAGATGTTTTAGGTATGTTTAATTAGTTGCCGATTTGTATAACCTAAATGGGTTAGGTGAGCTGGCATTCGGCAGCTTTTGAAAAAGATATATTCCCTTCTTCAATTTATTTTTTTCTTTATTTTTAATTAACTTTTTATTTTAATTTATGCATCAATATAGTCCAAAACTTTTATAGTAATAAGAAAACATAATTCTTTTTTTTTCCCTCTTTTTTCTTTTAAATAATTTCATAACATTATTAATATTTATTTATTATAAATGTCACAGATCTAGAACTTTATTTCTGGAGATTTGATGTATTTAATTTGTTTTAATTAAAATTAAGTATTTTTTTTTAATATTTAATGATTTAGTATTTATTAATTATAAATATATTCGACACTAAATTATAATAAAATTAATTATTAAAATTGTTACATACCTAAATTATAACAAAATTAGAAGTATTTATACTAAAATTGTTGCAAACTTAATTAAAGTCTAAAATTAACTTATGACATAAACGGTAATAGAACAAAAAAATAATAATAATAATAAATTGAGTTTGACCAGAATTATGGTTTCAAAAATATTATTTTTCAATTATAATTGATATGAAGAAAAAAATAAATTAAAAACACAGAAATTAAGTAGAGGACCACCAAATGTCATGGGTCGACCCATGATCACGTCCAAGTTATGGAAGAATCTTGCTTAAAATGGGACACAACACAAAAAAGAAGAAAAAGTATTTTGAGACTTAAGTTTCCATTAAGATTAATCGTGATCAGGTCCCAGTTATGGTATTATATGGTTGGAAGAATATGTAGACATTATTATCACTAGCTACTAGGCTACACGTCTATCTCCCTTGCACTTACACGGTAGCTCTTTTCGAGCTCACATAGATAGTTAACGAGCTCACATAGATAGTTAACGAGCTCATTGAATTGTCTAAATAATCAAGCTCGAAGTAAAAATTATGGATATTCCACTCTAAGTTGAGACATTCAAAATGGGTTGCATGGATAATAATTGACTTGTACAAAAAGTGATTTATGTCGGAAAATAAAATTACTTTATTGCCCTCCTTTTTTTTAAACATTTGATTGTGATCATTGATGGTGACAGAAAACTTTGGAGGGCACTTTTGAACAACGAAATAATTTCTTGGATCAACCAATGCATGCATGGGATAAATAAATAAAGCCCCTGAGAAGAATTTGATTTCAATTTTGCTTTTGTTTCTAATCTTTTTAATGTTATTTTATTTGGAGTTTTTAAATGATAATCATCTATAACTTTTAAAATTTTGAGTTTATTATCGATCAAAAGCATATATCTCATAAAGTCGGGGTTGAACAAAAACAATGTAATTAATGTAAATATGCATTTGTTACAAAACCAAGTGTTCCTCGACGGAAACAAGTCAGTCTCAGAGCACGAACCGAGTTTATTATACGTTACAAGCCGACACACAACACTCATAGGTAACAAAAATATTATTGGACTCAAGAAGCAGTGATTTTAATCATCAGCTTGGTTATTACCCAAAAGAGCAAGGATGAAGTGCTTGTAGTCACCGGAGGTTTCCTTGGACACAGCATCATCAAGGGTAACACTGTTTCTCTTGTGATAAGCCTCCTTTATCTGCCTCAGGTCTTTCTCCGCCCTCGTCACCACCACTCGAGTCAATTCATCCTCGTCGCTCTTCCCAACCTTCTTGATTGCATTTCGCACCACCTGGAAGATGATACCGATGGATTATTTGATGTCAAAAATTGTAACGGCCCAAACTCACAGCTAGCAAATATAGAGGCTCCCCTTAGGTTCTTCATCATTGCAAGCATTGGAATAGAAAAATTCACTGAAAAAAACATATGAACAACATAATCTAGTTTGGGAGAGTGAGTTCATTACCTTCTCATAGTATTTGATAGGGTTATTGATGCATCGAATCACAGTTTTTAGAGCTTCAGTGAACGCATTGGCTGCACGGTCTTCACCCAATTGCTGCAACAGACAACAGATACCAACTTAAACGACAACATGATTCAGCTTCGAAGTTGTTTTGTTTTGAAGATCTCGTCTTAAATTAGCAGCAATATTAAACTATCAATCAAATTGGTTTTTGTGATGAACATTAATATCAATGTAATCTAGGATGAGTACTCTTAGCTTTGTACCTTGGAGAGGGTAATGCCATTGGCATCTTTGTAGCAATTGAAAACTCCAATAAGCTGTGACCTACTCCTTGTGGTTAGGATCCTTATGACATCTTCATGATGGAAATTCTTATCTTTGACTGCACGTTCAAGTATCTCAGCTTCTGATTTGGCTAGTTTTGAATCGATCTCATCTCCATTGTAACGATATGAACTCACTAATCCCACCAACAGCTGCATTGATTAATCATAAACCCACAATCAACAATCACCAAAACTATTATCTTCAATCTTCATTGTTCATGTCATTCTCTTGTATATCATTACAATCTCTGTGTTCAAGTGGCATCAGTTTAGACTCCTCCACTTTCCAAATCTCCCAATACATCCATCTCTTTCCTAATTTAGAATTTGTTCTTGTTCCAAGTAGCCTATTCTCGGAATAACTATTAAGGATTTGAATTCCTAAAAGACAAAATTGAAAAGTGTGTAAAATGGCGGTGGTGGATTCTTGTTCTTAGTTCAGAGAGATCCAAATACGGACGATCATGAAACCAATAACAATGGAAAATGGAGTTGATAAAATGGAATAGGGATAAGTTATGGACCTTGCGAAATTCGTCGTGAGTGTTGGCGGCAACATCTTCCTCCAATGAACGCTTGTAACGGTGTTGATACGCCCTTCTAACACCCAAGAACTCTTCAGGAGAGTAAATGCAAGAAAATTCAACAAGCACTGCGAAATCCTCATTTGGCTTCCTTAGGGCTACGTGCGCCAACACAGCGTCTCTGTCTTCTGGATCTAGAACCCATCGATACACAGCTCTCTGTTTCGACAACAAACAATCGAGCTCCGAATCAGCAAAAATCGTATAAACAAGAAAATCGGTCGATCTTCTAAGAAAATGGGAAGAAAATGCAATGGTTTCGATGATCGCGAACAGTATCCGATACTGTTCATGATGATTATGAGGGAGATGACGACGAATACGAAGAACATAAAAGAAATGAGTAAAAATATGGTGAAGAAGAAGAACCTCGAGGTGGCCAGAGAGCTCAGATTCAAAGCGTTTAATAAGATCCTCTTCAAAAAGCTGTTCGTAAGCAATCCTGATTTGCCTCCTCTGACCTGCATTTCTATAGCCAAGCACCGCGACGATGGCCTTCTCATCAGTCCCCCACCCTACAGAGAGAAGGAACAACAGATTCAGAAAGACAATCAGAATCATCACATAATCACAAGCCTAAACACATCCCGATCAGAGCAAGTAAAAAGGAAAAGAAAACAAAATGTATAATGATGGATGGATAACCTTTGAGAGCGGCTTTAATGGCTTCTGCATCGGCATTCGGGGAAGGAACATCGTCAGGAACACGAAGAGTGGCCATAACCTCAAGCTTCAAACCTCGAATCGATTTCTCACTGGCTATATGCAGATTATGCTACAGAATGCTCTCCTTCTGTCTCTTCCTCCTTCTTTATATTCTAAAACTTGCACTCCCGGCTGAATTCACCCGCTCTCTTCTTCAAATTGACGCTTCTCAGGAATCAACGTGGCAGACAACTATGGCTGCCATTGATTTAGGATCAACCTGCTCGCATTTTTATCTTCCATTTTCTAAAAAAATTAATCTCTTCTTATTACCCAATTTTTAAAATATCCTTAAAATTCTAAACCTTTATTAACAAAAAATTTAAATTAATAAAATCATTTCAATCTTTTAAAATTGATGTAGGGGGTATTGCGGGTCCACCGGGTCCACGGGTTATATTCTCTCAACCCGACACTACCACGCTAGAAACCCTAAAACCCTAACGTGTTTCTTCTTTTTCTTTACCCGTCGCCTCCTCCGCCTCATTTTCCCCATTCCCTTCCATTTCCCTCTGTACGTACCACTTCATTCTCTTCGCCGGAAAAGCTATGGCGCCGTTTGGTAATAATCACTCCTGTGCATCAAAGTGTTCCTTGGCTCGTAACTCCTCTCTTCGCAGAATAATGGTCGTGTTAATCCTCTGCGTGTTTGCTCGTTTTTCATCGTTTGCTAGATCGAAGGTTACTGTCTTCCATCCTTTTCTTTCTTCATTTCGCGGTTCCGGTCCTTGGTGAGGTCTGAGGGTTTGCTGAAGCGTAGAACTTCAGGTATGGTCGTGGATCCGTTGGAGGTGCGGGTTCTCTCTCTCTCGATTTTTCTGCTCTTTTCTTCCTCTGTGCAGGTGTTGGAGACATTGGCTGAAGGCCGGAGGATGGAGGGAACGTTTGGAGACGATCCCGAGGTTGTGGACGTGAGATCCCTCGCCGGCTACATCGGTAATTTTTTATTTTTATTTTTTAATAATTCTGTTTCCTTACCAAAAATAAAAAAATAAAAAAATAAAAAAGGTTAAAATTAGGAGATTCTCATTTTTTATTTTTAATTAAAAAATCTGATTCTGTTTAGTTTTATTTATTTTATTAATTTATTCTCACTGGAAATGGAAATTTGGGTGGTCAGTAGATGTCTACTCTTTAGACATTTCCACACTGACCGAGTAATGGAAATTGGGCGAGTAGGGTTGTTTGCTTCAGACATTTCCACATTCTACAAGTATGAACTTCTACATTTAGCCAAGGAAGAGTTTCCATATTTGTTGTTTAATGAGTGAGGTGCATATCCTTCCACACTATAAGTATGGATGGGTTGCTGCCATGTTCATCACCCCATCTCCCTCTCCTTCTTTCTCTACTTCTTCTGCTATGGCCTTCATTTCCTCCAATCTTCTCCCCATTTGCATCTCACTCCTTTTGTTTTTCAATTCTGTGTATTCCTTCGACTACTTTCAAATGGTTTTACAATGGCCGCCCGCTACTTGTAAGACTAAAGATGTAGTCTGTTATACTGCACCTCCTAAGATGTTCACCATACATGGTCTCTGGCCTAGTTATTTCTCGGGGGATATGGTTGTTTGTACTTCTAAGCCAAAATTGGACCCAACAAAACAGGTATCTTCTGTGTCATTACAACTCATTAGTGTTTATGATTTGATTTAATTTAATTAGTGCATCCTAAGTGGATTTTTTATTTTTGTTTACAGCTTGCTCCACTCAAAACACAGCTAGAAATGTATTGGCCAGACGTGATAAGCGGCGACCATGAAACATTTTGGAAACACGAATGGGATAAGCACGGTAAATGTTCATTATTTACCCAATATCAATATTTTGAAGTATCTCTCCGTATTCGATTGAACTCTACCTTCAATATAATTAGCCATCTTGAATGCCGCCCATCTTAACCCGGATGTCAACATATCTCTGAATTATCTTGTTGTTGAAAATGCTATTAAGATTGCAATAGGAAAAAGGCCTGCCCTCCACTGCAACAAGGATACATCTAAACAGAAACAATTATTCGAAATTATTTTATGTTTTGATACGGATGCGGTGACTTTGATCGATTGTAGCCCAGAACTTAGAACAAGTTGCATAACTCCTTCCACGATTCACGATGAATTGTAGTTTTTTTTTGTTTTTTTTTTTCTATCTGAAAAATACTGGAAAGTTATGTTTGTTTAAATATATGTTATGTTTATCTTCGTAGAAAATATGTTATGTTATGTTTAAATATATATGTTAGTCTCTTATTTTATTTTAAATATTATCCATATAAATGCATAATAAAATTTGGAATAAATTGATGTTTGGTTTTTTTGAATTAATCGATGAGAATGAATGTTTTTAACTTTCTTAATAAAAAATATATTTAATTTAAATTATTAGATGGGGTTTTATTTTTCCAAATTTAGAAATAGGGTCTTAATTTCAAAAACAAAAAATCAAAATAGGGTCTTAATACATCATCGGTTTATTTATTTTTTTTTTAAGATTTATATCGGTTTTTAAGTTGAAAAAAAAAACAAAAGTTGGGTCGGGTTTTGTGGGGTTATGGGCCCGGGCTGGAGGGAATTTAATATTGTTTCGATTTTGTTCTAGTTGTACAATTTTAAAATATTTATTTATTTTATAATGGGTAGATTATCTAATTAAATTCAATGGGTAAAAAAGAAATTATATATATGAAAAATTGTAGATAAGAGGTAAAAGTGGTTTGACGGCTACATATTCTTTTCTTCCTCTATAATTAATCTAAAATTAATAAAGCATTGGTCTTATGTTATATATGTTATCCATATTATTAGTGTTATATGTTATTCATATAAATACCAATTAAATGCAAATCTTGAAAAGGGGTGAATTAAAAAAAAAAAAAAAAAAACTTTTTATAGTTAGAATTGGTTGGACGTGCCTATAAAAAAAATTAAATATAAATGACTTCCTATTAACTCGTTTCTAGGCATATCATTCTTAGGAGAGATGACCGAGTTTTTAATACTAAAATAATAATAATATAATAGTTAACTACAAATATGCTTTTCATACTAATAAAATAATAATAATAATAATAATATAAAAATTTATAACAACAATATCTGTAATGACGTAAAGAATAAACATAACAAATTTAAACATATCTAAACTTAAAACTCATATAACATATTATGTCCTCCTTTCACAGATACTAAACTATTCTCAAATAAAGTTGCACAAAAGTAGCCTCCAAGCCCTTTTATTGGAATAGGTTTGACTCGTTGAGTTTTAATATTATAAAAAATCAATTGTCTTTCATTGGTCTCCATTAAAAGTTCATCCGAACTCACTGCCAACAATGACCTCTCAATTCCAAACGACGGACCAATTGTGAATAGCTTTGACCATGAAACAACACCATCTTCATCCTTCTTCCTCTCCCAAACGTATATGTCCTTTTCCTTCTCTATTATTCGATGGTAAAATGTACGAAGTATAACAATGTTTCCATTTAAAATCCCAATACTTATATACACGTTATCCTCATACGATAAACTGTCCGGTACTGAAATTTCGTCAAAAACTTCTTCGCTAATGTCGAACGTTTGTATGATATTACTTCCTATTATATTTCGTGACCACCAATAATATTTTCCTTCATGATATATATCAAAAGAACAGATCGACATTAAATGGTCAGGGAGAGGGGATTCAATTTCCCTCCATCTATCTTTTCTCAAATCATAAATTTCCATTTTAGTTGGACCATCTGAATCGTATATGTGCACAAATTCTACAACCCTAACCACTTTGAAATCTTTAGATTTGGAATCGTATCTGAACCCAACAGTTTTTGAGTTCCAAGAATGAAGTTCATGATCAGGTCCAGTGTAGTGAAGAATCGACGAAGGGAGTTTACGAAACTCTCTAGTCGTCGGATTCAAGAGGAAAACATCTTTATCGTCCGATAGACAAACCAAGCCATGAGAATGGCCACAAATGTCGGAAAACGGATTATCTTTACTAAATGGCAAGTCGAAATTGATAATAGATATAGATCGATCGAGGTCATGGGAAAACTTGAGGATGAAGTGTACATGTTTATATGATCTACCATCGGGAATGATATGCTTGAGAAGAATAGACTTATGTTGGAGAGAACAATTTGTAGGATCGTTGATCAGAGCATACCAGAATTTGCAAACTAACTTGAATGAGGATAAAGTCTTTAGCGGAAGCCTCGATAGGATCATGATCAACAATTCTGTAGGGAGATTTTTTAGAGTTGCCATGAAAGAGCTTAAGAAGAGGTTCCAAATAACATGTATTTTTTGGAATAAACTAAGATGAGGATGAAGAAAATAGTGAAACCTATTATTTATATATAAATTTATTAATCATATTTTTCACCAAAATAATTTCTCAAAGATTACAAATGCAAATCAAATCTATTTTTAATGTCGAATTGAAATTTTAATTAAATAAGATTTACTAATTTGAAATTTGTGTTAATCAACCATATTAATTATTTTTTTAATCACGCTTTGTTTAAATTTTATACTATATTTACGATATTCGTATTAATGATTGATTTATTTTATATTATTGCAATTTATTATTTATATTCAAAATTAAAATCTTATAAATTAAGAATATTGTAAGAATAGATTATCATATATTATTGAATTAAATAATAATAATTCTATCTTCTTTACTTTAATTTATTATTTATTTATTTTACGGCAACTTGAGAGTGTAATGTGTTACTAGAGTAAGTCAAATTGGTCCATGCAAAAAAAAAATCAGCCTAAATGAACTTGATTATTAAAAAATAAAAACAGCCAAACTATATTCTTAAAAGTAAAAAAAAAAAAAATTATTGGAGGGTTATTTTTTTTTTTTGTTAATTTATTCGCATTAAATAATTTATTTAAAAATAGTATGAAATATGGAGATATTTAATATAAAAGAAATCAAAGAAAATAATAAACTAAAAAGATATTATATAAAAAAAAAAAAGTGTTTAGGGAGTTGAAGCTGCATACACAAGTTTACTAAAACAACAAATTACCAATATAATTTAGAAATTTTGTTTTATTTCGGTCAATCTGAAGTTTTGTCCAATGAATTCGAAACCTTAACCAAATACACATGGATTCAGAAAAATTAACTTAACCCAACCCAAAATGCTAATCGAACCCAACTGAACCTGTATAATTTGAGTTGGGTCAGTTCGAGTTGTGAGGTTAAATGTATACCTGTAACACCTCAAGCCCAATAGTTACAACTAGCACTATCTTATGACTAACCCCTTCTTAACCATTGTGAGTTTCTAGATTTTATTGGAGGTCTTAGAGAGTGATTTTCAAATCGATGTAGAAGAAAGAAATACTCAGGATGCATCAAGGAACTCAGAAAACAATGGTGATTTATTGAAAATTCAGGTCAAAGTCAACCAAGGGCAAATAGGTAATTTTTTCCCACGCACACCATCCTGAATGGACTGCAAGAAAAGAAAAGAAAAAAAAAAAAGAAAAAAAAGAGGAAGAGAAATGAGGAGTTAGGGTTTTCAAGAAGAAGAAGGAGGAGGGAGAAATACCCAAACCCGAACACTGAAGTACTTTCAATCTTAGGTCTCCTACCAGAGCTACTTCAAGGATCAAGAGGAGTGGTCTGAGCATTTGGATCGTTCGTTTTCGCCAAGAAACGGGCAAGAACGCGAGGTAAGTCTGCGACCTCTTTTGTTTCGAGATTTTGCCGTAGATCCGGGAGTTTCGGATGTCTTAGATCTTAATAATCTAGTTGCAATACCTTAGGTGAGTATTTTTGCAAGTTTTCATAGGAATTGGGGCCAAAGATCGCGTCAGAAAACGAAATCGAGAATTGTCCAACTTCGATAACAAACTGAATTTTTCTCAATTTTTGACTTTATTTATTAAGCCCTGTTAGTATAAAAAAAAATGTAAGAAAAATATATCTGGATAGGTGGACTTGAGATCTTCAATTCTCGTGAAGGAATCAATTTAATTAGAGTTACGGATTGGAAGATAGAAAAAATTCAAGATAAATAGGTTGATATGGAATTTGACTGGAATTTGAAAATTTGATAAACTCAGGCGATCGGCGACGGACACGCGGCGGTCGGAAAGGAAGGAGGCGCGTCTGGCAACAAGGGGGACACGGGTCGAGCACTCGGTGGAGAGACGCGTCTGACACCTGCGCTGACACGCGTCCAACAGCTGACCCAGAAACCCAACCCGCACTCCGTGAAGCAACCCGATGACCCGTAGTCCAACCCGAAACCTACCGCCAGTCCCTGCATGATAGGTGTCACGCCCAAAATATTCGAGGGGTAAGTCTACGTCCATTGGGGCTCAAAACGTGCCTCTGCGTGTGCGCCTTGCGCGTGGGTGCTCCTGCAAGCATGTGCAAGCGCGTGGGTCCCCTGTTTTCACTCGTTTTTTGCTTTTATTGCTAGTTTTTCATCCCGATTCTAGTGCTAATCCTATTTTACTGCGAACTAGGTTACTGCAGAGAGAATTCGTAAATTTGGGACTCAGTTAAGACTATAAATCAAGTTCGGGAAGACACGCGACAGACTTGTAAGTAACCATATGGAATTAGGAAGTAATACTTGTCGGTTGCGCTTGATTTTGCATGCATGCTAGAGCAAACTACTCCTAGGTGGCTAGATCTGATAATCCTCTGTACTTAGGAAATTAAATATATATATCTCCTTTGTCCTTCATACTCGATGTTTGTATGCTTGCTGGACTATCTTACTACCACTTTTATTTGTTCATACTATGTTGGCGGATGAGAGAATTTGTGTATCTATGCTCCAGGTGTTGATGAATGTTATTGACCCGTTCAACTTGTATGACTGTATGCATTATTACTCATACATAAACTCCTGTTGAATGATTGTGTGAACTTATGATATGAATGATAAGTTGGAGTGTTGTGTTATGTCTAGGGTGTACTCTTGTTGAGAATTGAGTTGTGTTTAGATAGGGGACCCTCCTGATGTTACGGTCAGTGGTGTCGTGAGGGACGCTTAGAGGGAGAGACCCTTTAACTCTGGACTGTTATGGACTTGGAAGTCTTGAATGAGTTAATCTGGTTTCGTTACTCATGTTGGACATCCAATAGATGTCCGATCTTGATAAGATTTTCTAGTTCGCAGAAGGACTGAAGCCATCCGACAACTGTTCGATCTAAGCAACGAACAGTCCCAAGACACTAGGCGAAATCAAGCCTCCTCGAGTGGAGGTAACCGCAACCATACATCTAATCCTCTCAGAATGGGAGAAAGAGAGAGAAGACAGCCCCATTCTGTTTTCTATGCAGAGGGAACCACAGGGTATATGAGTGTCCAAATAAGGCGCAATTACAAGCCTTCCAAACTGCATTAGACGCAGAAGTAGACTCAGACGAAAAATCTGAGAGCGAAGAAGCTGAAAAATAGCTGAATAGAGAAACTCCTCGGATGGGAGCCCTAAGGTTCCTATTTGCACTTCAAAAGAAGACCGAGGAGCAAAGAGATCCGATTGAAAAAGTTCTCATGTACGTGGAAACTTGGGTGAATCACAAATCAGCCAAGAGTACGATGGTCGATTCAGGAGCCACCCATAACTTCATGACCGAGGGTAAAGAGAATCGGTTGAACATTAGATGACATCGAGACTCGGGGAGGATGAAGGTCATGAATTATGTGGGCCTACCAATCTTCGGAAGCGATAAAGACTACCCTCAAGTTAGGAACATGGAGTAGTCTAGTGGACTTTGTGATCGTCAAAATAGACGATTTTGATGTGGTGCTTGGGATCAAATTCCTATTGGAACGTAAAGTGATCCCCATGCCTTTGGCTAAATGCCTAGTCATAACAGGATCAACCCCTACTGTTGTCTAGACAAGCATCAAACAGCCTGATGGAATCAAGATGATTTCGGTGCTCTAGTTTAAACGAGGTTTTGCGCGTAACGAACCAACGTTCATGGCCACCCCTGTGGTTGAAACCGAAGGAACGGTTGAATTTGTTCCCATAGAAATACAATGCGTACTAAAGGAGTACCGCAAAATAATGTCAGAGAGTATACCAAAGACATTACCACCTCGTCGGGGCATAGACCATGAGATCAGATTGATGCTTGGGTGAAACCCCCAACAAAGAATGCCTATAGAATGGCTCCACCTGAGTTAGCGGAGCTATGAAAATAACTGGATGAACTACTTACTACCGGTTTTATCAGACATGCGAAAGCTCCTAATGCCCCTACCACATTCTGCACATTATTGTCGAAAAGAGTTGCATAAAAGTAGTCGTGAGGTCCTTTTAGTCTGACTAATGCCCCTGCCACATTCTGCACATTAATGAACTAAGTCTTCTATGGGTACCTTGATAAATTTGTGGCAGTCTACTTGGACGACATACTAGTCTACTGCTCCACCATGGAAGAGCATCAACACCAACTGCGGTTAGTTTTCAAAAAGTTGGGAGAACACCAACTATATGTGAACAAGGAAAAATGTGCATTCGTGCAACAACGAATCAATTTTTTTGGACACGCAATAGAAGCAGGCAGGGTAGGTATGGAAGAGGAGAAAGTCAGAGCCATCAAGGACTAGAAGACTCCCTCTTAAGTGATAGAAGTGGCTCCTTCCTTGGGTTAGCAAATTATTATCGGCGGTTCGTTGAAGGATTCACGAAGCTCGCAGGTCCCTTGAATGAACTACTGAAGAAGTGAAACAAGTGGAGTTGGACTTCATGTTGTCAAGAAGCCTTCGACAACTTAAAGAATTTTGGGGATTGCCGATGTGACGAAACCCTTTGAAGTCGAACGGAAGCGTCAGACTTCGCCCTAGGGGGTGTCCTATTGCAAGAGGGACACCTCATTGCATACGAGAGTCAGAAGCTAAATGAGGTAGAAAAAAGGTACGGAACATCCGAGAAAGAAATGCTGGAATTAGTCCACTATTTACAAGCTTTAAGACAGTACCTCCTCGGAGAGCTAAGTTTGTAGTCAAGTCTGACAAGAGTCCCATATGTCACTTCTTTAACCAACCCAAATTATCGTCAAAACAAGCGCATTGACAAGAATGTGTGGCCAAATTTGACTTTTAGTTCGAACACAAGCCAGGTAAAGCAAATCAAGCTACAGATGCCCTAAGTCGGAAGAGCGGATATGCAGCCCTATGCATGTTAGCTCATCTACAAGCAAGTAAGTTGAGTGGAACGATACGAAAAAGTATCGAAGAACATCTAACCAAAAACCCGGCCACCTAGGCCATCATGCAGCTAGCTAAGGAGGGGAAGACTCACCAGTTTTGGGTCGACACAATTTACTCTTCACCAAGAGAAATCGTCTTTACGTCCCCCGTTCTGGGAACCTGAGGATGAGGATGAAAATGAATGTTTTATATAATTAAATTTAGACGTATACCTCCGAATTTCTCAATTACGGTTTTTAACTTTCTTAATTAAAAAATATATTTAATTTAAATTATTAGATGGGGTTTTATTTTTCCAAATTTAGAAATAGGGTCTTAATTTCAAAAACAAAAAATCAAAATCAAAATAGGGTCTTAATACATCATCGGTTTATTTTTTTTTTTTTTTAAAGATTTATATCGGTTTTTAAGTTAAAAAAAAAAAAGAAAAAAACAAAAGTTGGGTCGGGTTTTGTGGGGTTATGGGCCCGGGCTGGAAGGAATTTATTTATAAAAAAAAAAAAAATAATAAAATAAATATCAGAATAATATTTATAAACAAAAATATAATATAATAAACATAACCCGTAAAGAAAATTTTAAATTTTAATATTACAACCGATTATTCCACGCATATTTCCATCCAGATATATATTTTTTATTTCATGCATATTTACGCCAATGTCAATGTCACATCTATTTATCATAAAAAAATATATATCATTTTAAAAAATACTTTAAAATATTTTTAACAAATTCCTTTCAACTTCTTTTAAAAAATTAAAAAATACTGTCGTTTTTATTATAATATTTTAAAAACAATATTTAATGAAAATGGTTTATTGACACCTATTGACCCTTTTTTTTTAATTACAAATATATTTTTTTTTAAGTTTCTAAAAAATTGAAGGTATTAATATAAATCTTAAAAAAAAAAAAACAAACTTTTTAATTAATTTTGAAAATTCAAAGAACAAAATATTAAGGTTTTTTTTATTAAAAAAATATTTATTTAGATGGTGTATTTTTTAATATAAAAAGTATTATTATTATTTTATTTGATTTAAATATTTTAATGACAAATACAATGAACTGACAAACCTATGCTTTCATTATGCATTACTACACGTTCAAGGATCTGAGCTTCTGATTTGGCTAGTTTTGAATCTATCTCATCTCCATTGTAACCATATGAACTCACTAATCCCACCAACAGCTGCATTGATTAAAAATCATAAACCCACAATCAACAATCACCAAAACTATTATCTTCAATCTTCATTGTTCATGTCATTCTCTTGTATATCATTACAATCTCTGTGTTCAAGTGGCATCAGTTTAGACTCCTCCACTCTCCAAATCTCCCAATTCATGTCATTCTCTTGATAATCATTTTCAATTAGTTTTACAATGGCGTACTCCACCTCCTACAATGCACGAAGAAGTTTGGCCAACTGGCCTCCCTCAGCTTGCCTGTACTTCCAACCAAAAACTCAACTTACAGGTATTTATTCTATTATCCCAACTTTTATTTTGTCATCAATTTTAATTGCACTAAATAAATTCATTGAGTTTGAAATTGATTTGATTTATATTTGGTTTATTTAATAAATTCCAAGTGTTTTTCTTTTTCAGCTTGTTACATTTCGGAAAAAAAAACTCGGTATTTTGGAAACTCGAGCGGAAAAAGGAGGGCAAGGGTTCATCCTCAATTTTCAAACAATATCAATATTCTGAATTAGCCCTCGAAATTCAGATGAACTCCAAATACGCTATATCAGCCAATTTTAAAGCCATCAATTTGAACCCAAATGCGGACACATTTTATACTTACTACGCTTTTGAAATGGTTGCTTTTGAGGCTGCAATACAAGAGAAATCTGATAGCTATCAACTATTCAAGATCGTTTTGTGTTTTGAGGAGGTATTTATTAATAGTATTTGTTTGGGTTTTATAATTACTTGTTTTTTAAATAATCATTCTGTATCAATTTTTATTTATTATTATTTTAAAAATATTGTTTATTTATATTTAATACTAAGATAAGAACAATAAACTTACCAAAATTGAATATATATATATATATATATATATAGTTAGTGTTTGCTAAAGAATAATAAAATCTTTTTAATAATAAGATAATAAATAAGAACTAACTTACTAAAACTAACACAAAATTAACCAATTTTAATATCTTACAAATATTGGGTGCTGAATTATCGAAGTAGCTGTAGTTTGTTTGGAAATTTTCTATTTTTTTTTTTTTTAATTTCTTTCTGGACTTTCTTATGTATATATATAGACATGGCGTTTTATTTATTTTTTCATTTCCCGACACTATGGGGACATGCATGGTTGGGACATGGTTAGACACGGTTGGGACATGCAAAGACAAGTAAAAGTAAAATAGCACACATCCGATCAGCTCGACTAATAACTTGTTCCTCCATGCTAAAAAAAAAGGGCATAAAATAATTGAGCGAGTTAAAAAGGCATAACCTGAATCACGCAAACCAAACCGCATCTGATGAACCGCCCTGACCCGACTAGTGATCCGCTGCCTCCGAATTGCAACTGCGCAGGATTTCGCGTGTGAATATGCACGCATGAAATTGCGTGTATAACCCTCTGAGTGCATGAGTCACTTTTTTTCCTTTGTTCGGCGCTTGTTCGTTTGCTTTTCACTCCGATTTCAA